TCATATCCCAGTTGTACAAGCGACCTCTTACAGGACTGAATCATACAAAGACACATGATCGCATCACTAAACATTCATGTGTTACTATATGAGTTAAAGTTTTTAGGTCAGTATTTATACACATCTGAAGACACTGTAAAATTATATAGAATTTTTCGCAAAACTACTAGGAATGCAGCCGAGCGTAGTGCAGCGGCAAGCATCGTTGCTTTTATGCAGAAGTTGGGGGTTCCGCTTTGCCAGTATTACCACCAGCCCTTCTGTGATTATTTAAGTTGTTTCTGCGGCTGCTTTTGGCAGGTGCTGCTATTGGAATTACTTTTGACTGCCTGCTTCTCTCACAGCAAGTGAATATTAAGAGAGTTTTGATTCCGATTGTCGTTAATATAAGCAGCGCCGGAAACTGCGAACGCGTTTCAAGAGATATTGGGGACTTAGCAACATTCCAGATGAAAACAGAGTCTGACAATCAACACATGGTAACGAATTCAGTGCCAGTTCTGTCACATTGAATAGACTTTCACTCCCAGTTGTGTTGCGCAAATTTGCCACCTTTACTAGAAATAATTGTTTTTTTGTTTTTACAAAGCATTTGTGTGCAGTTAACATAGAGCATATTTTATTCGCGAATATTGGTTGCAGGAATATTTCGGGAGTCAACTTAATTCGGTTGCAACGATGGGGCAAAACCAATTCTTTGCTTTCCGATATCGTATATTTGGCAGTATTGTCGAATGAAAACATCACCGATAATCCATGGTGGTCCCCATCCTCCCCAAGGCACTTCGAAAAGTGCCAGCATACATGACTTATCATCAGCCTGAAACATAAAATAGCATTAATGAGTACCACATGCCCAATGACTAAGCCGAAAAATGCACTGACTTGTTTCAAGGTATGTATGACGGATCTATTTTTAAATAATTTATTTAATAATTTTTTCCATTGTTTTAATGTATGGTATGCTTTCTACTGCATTTATTTACGATAATCATCAAGATACCCAAG